TGGCTTGGAATACCTTCCTCCTTCTCCTCTTGGCTGGTTCCTACTTATCCTTCAGGATCTCACTCAGGGACACCTTCTCTAGGACTCCTCCTCTGAACGGCTCCATCACAGTTAGATGAACTTTCAAAGCGCTCCCAAAGTGTCCCCTGCTTTTCTCTGTCACAGCCCTAATCATGCTGGATGATACCTCTCTATTTACTTGTTTGCCACACAGGACCTTGGGCACCGAGGAGGCAGCGGTTAGGTCTTTTATCATGTGACCTAGGATCCAGCAGAAGGCCTGGCACCTGACAGGAACTTGCTGGAGATGGAAGTAGATGACTTTCCTCAGATGGTAGATGGGGGAGAGGGTCCCCAGGACTGAAAGTCCCTTCAGTAGTACAGGTTCAGGGTATGCCCTGCTGGCTGGTGGGGAATGGATCCTCCGAGGGGATCTTGAAAGTCAAGGAGAGAATAGATATTAAAGTGTGGGAATTAGAACATGCTTGGGGGATGTCCCACCTCCTGCTTAAAGAAATGCACTGATGGTACCACTGATGGGATCTTATTATTACTCACTCCATCACAGGGGGACTGCTCACCTGCTCGAAGAATGTGGAAGAGACCAAAAGACGTGTTAAATCCACTAAAGTATATGTCCTATGATTCCCACAGGGCAGCTCCTGGGACCGGTCTTGAGGAGCACGCTGTGAAACATTAATATTTTTTCTTCCTTTTAAACTCTCCAGATGATACACCAGGTCTTAAGACCACAGCAACTTTGGTCTCAGTGGCCTTTATTTCCTTCCTCCTTCCCTCCCTTTCTCCTCTTTTCTTCCTTTCCTTTCTTGTATTCCTTCTAGGGGTTTTCTAAGGGTGACAGGTGAACTATTGTAATAGAATGGGCCACACATGTGTTTGCTTGTGACTGAAGCTTGGCTTGCAGACAGCCCACACAGTCTCCACATGCTGAGAGGGCCCGTCTCTGGCTGGTAAGGGTGCCGCGCCCCCGACAAACTGGTGTTTGGCCATCTGGGAGTGATAAATCAGGCACCTTGGCCCACAGACATCCAGAATAGAAGATTTCTCACCAAATCCGAGATTCTTAAGAACAAGAATTGTGTCTTGTTCATCTTAGCCTCCAAAGAGTATCCCTGGATAACGCTCATTGAATATATGGACATAGTTCAGTATTAGTCTCTGATAGAGTCTAAAATTGCATTCTAATTACAGACAGCAGAGAGGACTCTGGGAGGCCTTCTACCTCAGAGGCCAGGAGCCAAGCCAAGAGTACCACAGGGTATGTGCACCACTGAACAGGCAGATGGTAACCACACACATCCTCAAGTGCGAGAATCCAAGTTGCCATAAACACAAGATCTCACTGGATGTGGGTGTCTATGTCATCTGAACTCTGGATCAGGAGTCTCAGAATAAATGGCAAACCTTTCTAACTAGAGATATAGTTTCTTGTCTTTAAAGTCTTCTGATCCATAGAAAAGAACTTTATTCCAAAAACAGACAATAGAGTTTCCCTTTTCCTTTCTAAGCCGAAATGAAGTGCCTTCCATGTGGTTGGCACTTACTCAAGACACATTTGAATGAATGATTTGGATGTGCAGGCAAGCTGGCAGGGACATCTGTCACAGTGCTGATGGCCAGCGTAGATTTGGCTGGTCCAGCTGGCTGGGCGGGGTTCCTCGTTACCCTCGGTGCTCCTCCCAGAGCCAGGGAAACGGGCTACCTTCTAAGATGGAACGAAGCCTTTCTTCTGTTTCAGGAGATGTTTTAAGAAATTTCCCAGGATGCTTCTTCACCTGTTTCTTGCTACCCACTTACCTTCATTTGCATAACTTCCTTATCTGTGCACAGAAGTCCCACCTTTCCAACCACCAATCATTCGGAGTCGTGAAAGGCCTTTCTTTCCTAATTTCCTTATGCGGCAGTTTTATCACCTTCAGCCCCAGAGTTGCCGGTGTTTGAGGTTTCTGTGTCAGGGCCCATTTTTCTGATGGCAGGTTTTTGGCGGAGCTGCCAGCCTCATAAAACAGGGTAATGGTTCTTAGGAAGCAATCACTTAGCTATTGTTTCATGGCAGTTGCCCTGAGAGCCTAGAAAGGAACCCATGATTTCACTGCAGAGGAGCGAATGGGAAAACAGCAGCCGCAGCCACAGCATGTAGATGGCAGGGAAGGTGACTGCTAATTTTACAAGCCCTTGGTAATATTCTGGCACCTTCATAGGACACCAGGGGACCTGCAGTCACTTTTGCTGGATGACTTTTCAATCTTCTAGCATAGAAAAGGACTTTATTCCATTGAACAGTTTTGCAGTTTTCTCTAAGGTCAAAATTGCATCTGGAATGCATGATGGGAAATTGTTATAAAAATGGCAGCTAATTACAGGTTAGTGGATAAAACAATACCGTTCTCTGGAGAGCTTATGCACATAGGTTGAAGGATAAAATAGGGCTGAACGGTATTTGATTTCTTTGTGTTTATCCAAGTCACTGGCCCAGGCAGGAAGGTAATATATGAAAAGGGACATTTTTGGAATAGCTGTTTTTGAATTACACTCATGAAATATACACTCTGCTATGGAGGACATGTGGGAAAGCTACACTCTGACCGCATGACTAATTTTTAAAGCCCTGCATAGAGAGAATTCCCCCCAAGAACACAGCTGGGTTATTCCTTCGTGGACTGAATGTGTCAATTATGAACTGAACTAGAATGTAATTTTACTCCATTACGGCAATGTGAATTGAGGAGTGGACACTGCAGCTAGGGTGTTACGTAGTAGTTCATACACCAAGTACTACTATTTTATTAACTTTAAGAACATGTTTTACATAAAAACAGGCAACATCAAAAAACTCAGTTGATAAATGAACATAATATATCACAGATGATTTCATTCCACATTAACCTACATTTATTAGCTTAAACTGAGAGATTAGGAAAAAAATTGGATCTCATTCCAGCTTTAACCATGGATACAAATCATTTGAAAGTTATTTCATTAAGATTCTGAAAATCAAAGATTAACCTATGCCATCTGATCCATGCAGCAATTGATAAATCCAGTATTTTCAAAGGAAACATAGAATTTTTTTCTTGCACCAAATTGAAACCTTTCAGAAACTTGTTTAAATGCATCAAGTTCCAAGACCACCTTTTTAGTATGCATGAGCAAAATACTATTTAATTTCACACTCAACTAATCCTTTAATAATTTTCTTTCAGCCAGAATGAAATAGGCTATTATTAATTTCCTAATAAAATTAAAAAAAAATAGTTATGGAGGATATGACTCTAACCCTGGACCAGTTTCAATTTCTTTTTATTTTTTCTGAGAATACATCAAAGATTAATGTCAATGGCAAGTGAGAAATTGTCCCTAGAGAACTATTCAAGTTCTTTTTCTTACCACATTCGATTGGACTGGAATGAACTGACATTAGAGCATCTTTATCATCACTTTTAAAATCCTACTTTCTCTTAATACTAACAGTGAAGGCTTTTGGAACTATTATTTACTTTAAATTAATAAAGTATATCACAGACAAAAATATACAATTTTACATTAAAGCAACATTAAGGGTCTCACTTCAGTTGACCAAAACAGAACATTGAGGAAATCTACAGGTATAGTTTAATTGTAGAGATTCCTCTTCCTTTAGGGAAAAAGAATGAAACTGGATCTCTCACTTGTCTCCCAGGGCAAGATATTGCAAACCTCATGATCAAAACACCTGCCAGTTAGCAGTTCGCTCACTGAAAAATGATCACACAGCTTCAGTGTCGAAGTCCAACAACAAAAACAAAAAAACCTAAGGGAAAAAAAAACCCACCCTAACCAGAGGCATTCTAAGCCTCTATGTTGAATTTCCTGTTTCCCACCAGTTTACGACCCTTAATGTTACTGAATGGATGGTTGCATATTTGAGATGATTAAAAAATAAAAGACTGGCTTAAAAGCACCTCTTCCCCCAGTATGTAATTACATACAAATTAAAGATTCCTTCTGAGGGTCTCAGGGACCCCATTTGTTACTGTTTCATGTATAAGCACCACTGAGCCAATTTTAAAAGCACACTTGCAGTGATCAAATGTTTAGTGTGAACTCAAGTTTTGTTGATATATTTCCCTTTAAACAAAAAAAGTGTAAAGTGTGTTAATTTACACTCATCTTACCATATCTGAATTGAAAAAAGTGTTAATTTTGGAAGTGCTTTTAATCACTATTTTCCCCAACAGACTAGAACGGCTTCATGAAACTTGATGATTAAATAAAGAAATCTGTATCTCCAAAAGAAGTATATATCTGACCCTCTATCACTGCATGCAAAGTAAGGGTCTGTCTGAGAGTATTTTTCCCAAACTCCTAATGGAAATGGCAGACAACATGCAGGAAAGGCTAACCTTTGAACTGACCAACTTCAAGTTCTTTAAAATCTTTGGACAAAAAAAAAAAAAATCATGTCGCAGTTTAAAAAATTAATGATTTACAAACTATAGAAAAGATATGTTATCTACAATATATGCCAGGTAACTCATTTATTTTTTTTTTTAAACCCACATCCAAATGAATAATTACATTAAAACTACCATCTTGAATCTTGGTGCTTCCCAAAATTCTGAAATTACAAGGAAGGAGGGGACATACCAGATTTTTGTGTTGTTCTTTTCTCGGGAAAATTAGGCTGAGAAGAGAAGGAAATGAATCTTCGCTCTGATACAGACCCTCTAGAGGGAACTTCAGCCTGGGGCACCTTTTTATGGTCAAATTAAAAACCTTTGAAAATAGAAGTTTACCATGGAAATGCTGACGGATCTTTACTCTGAGAAGGGCTAGCAGGCAACACAGTAATGTTAAGAAAGCTTTCCCTCAAGCACAATTTCACTTCAGCGCAGGGACAGAGTTGTCTAATGGGCACCGCTGGCCAACAAACATCCATGATTTAATGTGTGTGAGCCTTGGTCACAGGGTAGCTCCATGACCCTCTAAGCTAAGCCAATTTTTCTTCTCTTTTTTTTCCAACTGAAATATGCCTCAAAGGGTAAAGGATTGCAATTTTAGCCTTCATTCACGGATATATTGCTTTCTTTCAACAGTATCTGACGGGCCTGTTAACCACCACCCATGGGGGTGCTGAGCAGGCTGCAGGAAGGTCTCACTGAATACAAAACACCAAACGTTTTCAGCAGTTTATTCACATTTTTTCTTCTGCTTATTTTAATATGCACCACGTGTAAGTTAGATGAGGGCTACAGTAAAAACATTTTCAGTGACTGAAATCTTATTTTTCTTTCTAACGATTTGGAGCAAATCACATATTCATTGATTAGGACGAATAAAATGATTTCTGCTACACGGTTGAGAAAAAACATGTTCATCAGTATGAACAGTTCTCAGCTATGGAGATGATTTACACGATGCATGTAATGAAGGAGTTCTTCCTCAACTAGTCTACTACCGAACAGAAGAGATGAATCTTAAAATTCCCTTGAAAACACCATATGGTTGGTCATGTATCAATAAAGGAAAGACAGTCCCCACCACCAGGCCACCACCATAAGAGCTATATTAAATACCAGGAAAAAAGTATGGAAACACCGGTGGCAATGATTAAGTTGATAATTACAGAGATACACTGCCATAATGGTACATATTTATTCTATGATAAAGTGAAATAAAAAATAAGATCAATTTGGTTATAGAAATTCCTTGAAGAACACCACCACTTAATTATTTCAAACTTGAACTATCCCAAGAATGTCATGAAAAAAATTAGAAAGCACTGGCAAAAAGCGAAGCAGTCTGGATACACCAACATAATCAGCATGCCTTGTGCTTGTCTGTTAACCCTCTGAGTACACCTCTGACATTCAGGATCTCGATAGCTTAATGCTGAAAAGATTGCATTCCATCTGATTACTCAATATTTCTACTTGACAGGTCACATTCCACTGTTTATTCAGCATAGATCACTCAAATTCTACAGTGATGCGCTGGGATCCCCGTGCTGAATGGGCCCTGCATTCTTCTGAGCTGCCCCTCTGCAGCGTGCTGAGAAACACTCCACAGCTTCACATGGTCCACAGTCACCCCAGACTTGAATGGAGAAAGGCCTGAGCCATGCACTAGAAGTTCTGTACACTAGATGCTGTAGCAAAACATGTAATGCCCACAGGAAAAGCAGTAATTCAGAGAAAGAAAGGAAAGTGACAATCTATTGCAGGAAGGTCTCTGCCCATAAGAGTCTTCATATTTATACATTTAGAGTTGCGGCCAAGCTATATAGCTACTCCTTGGTCTTACTTACAATAGTGCTTTGCTTTATAGTTCTAGAGAAAGCAGTAATTTCTGACCAGTTCAGGGTACTTTACTTATATGGAATCTCCCTACACACCAACACCCTTCTGGTGTTCTGCCCTCCCCCTCTCTCCAAAAAACCAACTGATCTGTGCTACATTGTGATGTTGTGTGTTATTATTTCAGGACTCTCTAAAAAGGGAAAAAACTCTCAATAAGTGATCCAGCATTTACATGTCAGGACCAGACAGACCAAAGAGAGAAACCTAAACGTGGAAGAGTGAAAAACTGGGGAGACTACGTTGCAAAAGTTATGACATGTTGTGATTTTACAGTCTATAACAACATAGACCATAGTTTATGAGTTGAAGAGGAAAAAGCAGCAATTGAAGACCAATGTGTATTTGAAAATAAAGAACTGATTAGGTCGCATACAAATTTCAAGACTTTCAGATACTGAAGTGTATTCAAAACAGAGACAGTAAGTGCTGTTCAGCCATCCAGATGCAAATTTCATGAGACATCACTCACTGGTTGTCTCCTGGGTGACAAAGCTGAGCAAACCTTAGGAGGATGCTTGAGTTGGGCCCCTGCCTCCAAGACACCATAGCTTGCCTCCTCTCTAAGCATTGCAGTGACGTACAGGGAGTGGCAGGCCATTCTGAAATACAACACATTCCAGAAGAAACTTACTGGAGACACAGGGCTAGGGACAAAGATTTGGTAACAGGAGTGAAAATACACGTCTCAGGTAGGACTTGGCCCTCAGAGAGAAAAACATGTGCCTCTGGACAGCTAAAGACAGTGATATAAAAAGGTCATCTTAGGGAATGGAAGTTTCATCCTCTAAGTCTCCCATCCTGTTCTTCCTGGGAGACTATATGTAGGTAACCTAAAGGTGCACATGAAATTATCTACTAGTGGTTTATTCCCTTAAAACTTATTTTTAGAACATTCTGGATTGTTTTCCCACTGTGCTTTCTCCTCGGCCACCTTGCAAAGCACTTGCCTCTAGTCCTCTCTGCCCCAGCGCTCCTGTATGGATTTCATACTCTATTTGGATTTCACACTGAAGACTGCAGTGCATGAAAAAGCAGGTGAGAAAAAGAACAGGATCTTGTTTCCTCTTTCTATTTGAAATTCCAGCCCTATAGAGCACCTGGCAATTTATTGCTCTTTTCCACCAGTTGTTTTTTCCTATAAATGTCTCATATTGAGTAGGCAGACCCTCACTCACCAACCACAAGACAAGGTATGGTGACTTCCCGAGGGTCTGCACTGGCACTAGTAGCAGCTGATGTGGAAGCAGCATTTCTGGGGTGTCATCAGCACATCTTCATATGGAGACAATTTGGGGGAGAGGGCACCATCTTTTTCCTGAGTCAGTCTGTCTGGCACAGACCCAGTTCCCTCCACTCAGGATGCAGGACTCACGGCAGCTGACAGTCATACCTCTAACGAAAAAAGTCCCTTCCTTAATAGGATTGTGAAGAAGAGGGGTGCTTATGCATAAGTTATAAACCTGCCATGTTCTAAACCCACAAAAAAGGACAAGCAAGACATCATTCTAGATGCCCTTCTTATCTGGACATCTCAGCATCTAACAACACTCCTTGATCTGCAGCAAAATCAAGAAACATGTGCATATACATCCAAAGGCCTGAAAAATTCCCCAAGCCTTCTCCATAAAATCCTATGCACTCAGAGGGTTAACATGTGCTATATTACATACTGCAGATCCTAGCTTGACAGGATGAAAACATTCATTACTTCTATGTTTAAAAAAGTTGCAAATTAGCCTTAACCCTTTGAGGACTGTATCAGCAACAAGTTGCCATCTTCACAAACAACAATTTGTCATCTCATTCAGCTACAAAGGGAAATCGCCACGAAAGATACCAGAACACACACTTTCTGTTCTGCCATTCAAGCATTGAGTGCTAGATAGATCAGATGAAACTGTTTTTACATAAATTTGGAAAAAATATCTCAGAGTCTCAAAGGGTTAAGCTAGGACTTCGAGTAAAAGGGTCTTATTAAAAGGGCGAGTTTGGGGAGCGAACAGTCTCCGAGGAGCTTGGGGAGTAGTCTTCTGATTCTGAGTTGAGTTCAGGCGGAGTCGGCTGTGCCTTGTACCGGCTTCTCACATCCTGGTTGCGTCTTCGTCGGAAAACCTGCCTCTCCTTATCAAGAGCGGTGGTCTAGCAGGGGCATAAAATGAGAAAGAGGACAATTAGGCCGAAAGAAATGGCAAAAAAAACCTCTGGGACTTTCTGACGTCAGAAAAATATGCTGGCCAAGTTAACCTGCCTTTATCGCTCACCTTTGTTGACAACAGTCACCACTGTTGGGGAGCTCTCTGCTCCCCCAGATGCAGCTCCTAAAAGCACCTGGTCATGACATCAGCAGGCACAGGCAGGATGGATGATGTCGTGGGTTCAACCTCTCCCAGCCCTACTCAGAGTTCCCCTAGTTCCACATCTATTACCCCTGGTGGCTCCCAGGCTAGCCAGAGACCCCTTGGTAAATGGGAACCCCAGGCCCATGTGTCTGACACGTGAGGAGGCCAGACGTGCCTCGTTCATCAACATTCAGCTCAAGGCAGCTGTATAATAAAAATGAAAGGTGATGAAGTTGTCAGACATGGCAACAGAGCCACCAGCTCATCCTCTTATTTTAGCACCTTCTCATTGTAAATTATCTTATTATCTGTTGATGAGGGAGTGTGGCTGAATCTCTGGGAAGTATTGGTTTAATTTTAATGAAACCAAAGCCTGAATTTGAAAACTGCTTTGAATGTAATTAAACCAAATGGAAACCTTCCCACGTATTTTTTTTTACTTTACAAAGATCATTTTCACCATACTACGTGGTAATTTATGAAACTGAGATTCAATATCCTTCCTAGGTATTCCAACTCCTGGTCTCTATGCCTCATTTTCCTGAGGAAACCTCTGATGATCTCCAGGATGCACTATCCAGCCATAGTTCTGGAAGTTATTATGACATCAGAATTGGGAACGGCATGACTTCATTACAGATTTAATGGTTGTGGGGAGGAACGGGGTCATTACAGAGAAACCTTACACAGAGAGCAGAACAGGTACAAAGTCTGAAGAAAAATACAGAACACATATAAAAGTTGAAGGCATCCTTATTTGAAAGTCCCTCTTTAAAAGGATGTAGCCTGGAGGTGATTCCGTTTTTAAGAGATTACTTTTCCTCTACAGGGATATATACCACCATTTTTCGTCTTGAAAATTTACTGTTAGCTTCTTCAAAGAGCAGAGATAAATTTACAGCCAGCCGGGTTCTGAGAACAAAGTGAAAAGTAAGCCCCTCGTACAATTGCAGTATAGCATTAGAGCAATCTTAGATCTAAAATAGGGCAATCAAAGTTCCAAAATGAAGTAATAAAGAAAGAAAGAGAGGCAGTGTGTAGAACCAGGACAGTAAAGGGCTTCGTTAGGCTGAACTGCTCTGCTTTAAAAACTCTCCACACACTGAGTAACAGCGTTACAAATCAATGAGGAAGATAAACTTTAATAATTCACTTCTTGTTCAGTATATCGTTCATACAATGATTCAAGAAGTGGTTTGTTGAAATGTCTACCTTGGATTCTTCGACTTGTTGAATTTTTAAGGACCCTCATATATATAGTTCATGGTCTTATACTCACTGATTTTATGATATTTTCAGCATCACAAACCCAAATTCCTAACTTTATTTAAAACATTGTAAAGTTATAACACATGGTATTTTGCTTTCAAAGCAAACTGAAAATGTTCTGTTTGTGTAGAGTTGAACGTTTGTAAAAAACAGACGTCTTTTTAGTGTGATTTACATAAAAACCATTCTGTAGTTAATCCAAGAGTAGTATAAACTCTTCTTTTGGTCATAAAAAATATTTCTATTTCTAACTTCTTGAGAAAGAAAAAAGTCATCGGCACTGGACTGAATATTGACTAGTAAAACGAGGCTTTCTGGTGTTGGGAAGAAAAGCACATCAGCCTGTAGTCAGGAATTTTGAGTCCTGCTCCGTCCACCACTGGCTGTGAGACGCATTCACTCAGTTCTCAGTTAAATAAGGAGCAGGAACAATCCCTCCCCACCCTCGCAGAGTTGCTGTATGTAAAAATGGATAGGCAAATGCTTTCTAAATGGCTAAATCTCCTAGAAATGGAAGGTGTTTGGTTTTTTTTTTCCTTTACAAGTTGATATAAGATATTGTTTTAAAATTAAGTAACTGCAGGTCATAAGAAAACAATGCAAAACAAAGCTCACATTGGAACTTACCTCAGAGCACTTGTCCTCCTTCCCTACTCTCACTGGCACCTTCTCCACATTTACCTCATCTCCCCATAATCTACTCAATTACGCCAAGTCATGTTCTTGGCTGCAGCCGCTGAAATAGGCAGGCCATTTCTCCACAAATACCGTCATCTAGTTTTTACAGAGGCTCCTGGCACTCAATGTTGAGCCCATGCTTGGATGGTCCCATTCTCCTTATTTTCACTTTCATTTCTCCAAATCCTGCTAAGGGTAATCATATTCTCTTCCTTACTTGTCCCTCTGCCTAGAGAACCCTTGCCCTGGCCCTTTTCAGTGGTCAGTTCTCGCCACTCCTGTTAGCAAAGTTAGGAGCTTTCTAAACGTCCACCTTCGTAGATGAACCCTCCTGCTCACGCTCCCGTGCTTTCAGTGGAACCGATTCACCAGTAACTTCATAGCAGTTATTTTGGAAACATATCATGTCATGATCACGTCATGGAATAAGGGTGTGATGGTTGCTTCTAGATTCTTAGAAATGGATTCTTCTTCTTCTAGATGGATTTCTAGATTCTTAGAATTGAAAGAGAATTTATAAAGCATTCTTTGTCCAATGCTTTGCCTTTATAGGCAGGGAAACTGAGGTCCAGGCATGTGCAGAGACCTGCCCGTATTGCATCGCTAACTAGGAACAGAACTCAGTTCTCCTCCTCCAAAGGCCCAAGTGATTTCTTCCTGTCTACTCTGAAGTCTAGTGAAACAGAATAAAATGGACCCACTGCACCCCAGTAGCTCACTCCTTCTCTGTTCCTAACCAGAGTGGGCTAGCAGAAGACACTGACCACAGGCAGCATCAGAAGCCAAAGACCAGGCTTTCCCATGCTAATGACCTGAAAACCTCTCTCAGGGACAGCAAGCCAGGGTCCGGTGCATGCGCAATCCCATTCTGGGCCTGTGAACTCCTAGGAAGCCCTGGGTCTGATGACAGTGAGGCAGTTTCCGACCCACCCAGGTTCTCGTAAGATTCTCAAAGGCTACACAACTAATGTTTAGGGCTCCCAACCAACTTGCTCTCAAAGATGTTCCAGAGGGCATCGCCATTCATAGGCCTCTCATCCCTGGGCTCCTGCCCACTCTGCTTCCAGCTCCACGGACTGTGGTTCATTTTAAGAACTTCTTCCTTCTCTGTGTTCCCAGGAAACCTAGTATTGCTATCACTGTGCATCCTGACTACTCTATACTTGGCTCTAATTCACTGTCTTCCCTGCCACATTGTAGACTCTTTGGAGGGCAAGATCAAGTCTTGGACATCCTCTCTGTGTTCTCCACAGTTCATCGCACATAATAGGTACTCTACAAACATTGTGGCTTTTGAAATATGGGAAAGTACAACAGAGGTCACATTATTTCCCTCCTGAGCACCCAACCCCCAGTCTATCCTGCACACAGCTGACAGGTCAATTATCCCTAGGTTCGATTTATTTACAATTCCTCATAAAGTCCAGTTCCTCGTTCTAACATTCACAATGTGCTTACAATAAAAATTTCCAGTGAACAGTTCCTGTTGTTACTCAAAATGGTCTTGTGACATCAGCAGACTTGTTCCCCATTAGCGGACACTTGATTTTCTTGCACAGCATCCATTTACTCTGCTTACAGTTAACCAGGCCTCAGTTTCCCTTTGGACATCCCCTGCTCCTGTACCCTACCCCCATCTTTGAGAGTGGGGTGGGGGTGGGCTTGTGTCCCAGGAGCAAGCCTGAGCTTACTGCATTGCCTAACACCCACAATTGGTTCAGGAGGGGCAGCCAGCTAATAGGACACAAGGAGACCTTTGCTGGGACTTCACATTTATACTAAATTCCAATTTTGAGAGGACAGCAGGCCTGGAGCTGCTTCCCACATCCTGGTACCACGTGAAGCTCCAGACTAAAGCCAGCACAGGGAAGTGGAGTGGAGGGATAGAAATCGGAAGAAACCAAGCCCTGACTTAGTGCTGAATCCACCCATCATTGAAGCCAGACCCAACCTTTGGACCTTTCAGATTACACACAATAATAAATTTCCTTTTTGCTTAAGCCAGTTTCGTTTGGGTTTTCTTCACTTGCAATGAAAACAGTCCTAACTGACGTATCTTTGCATGTACTTTAACCATTCTTACCTCTACATCTCGGCTCACGGTGTTCACCAATCTGAAATCACCTCTCCTCCTTCCTGTGCACTCAAATTTATCTATTTTCCAAGATTTGATTAAATTTCACCTCTTGCATCACACTTTTTCTTTCTAAATTCCTCAGGCAAGTATTGTCTTGACCAAACTTCTGGCACTTATTACACATGGGCCTCCTGTTATCTCTTCTGTGCACAATTCCCAAACATGATGCAAGCTCCTCTGTGGGAGAATCTGAAACGTCTTTGTATTTTCCAGAATGCGTAGCACACTGTGGCACACATATTAGGGACATATTAAATATTTCTGAATTAATACAGAATTAAATTATTTTAGATGATTATGTGCTTTCTAAATAATCAAAAACAGAATCCATGGGGCCGCCTGGTGGCACAGCGGTTAAGTGCGCATGCTCTGCTATGGCAGCCCGGGGTTTGCAGCTTTGGATCCCCGGCGCGCACTGAGGCACCGCTTGTCAAGCCATGCTGTGGCGGCGTCCCATATGAAGTAGAGGAAGATGGGCACGGATGTTAGCCCAGGGCCAGTCTTCCTCAAGAAAAAAGGGGAGGATTGGCATCGGATGTTAACTCAGGGCTAGTCCTCCTCACAAAAAAAAAAAAAAAAAAAAATAGAATCCAAAGCAACTCTATAATACAAAAGAATAAGAAGTTAGAAGTATTATGAGTTAATATTTAAGAATGTGATTTATGTTTCAGATATGACCAAATGCTTACATCAGATAAAGTTAATATTCTCTTGTA